TTAAAAAAACAAAACAAAACAGAAAACCAGACTGAAGCATCACGGTTGATGCAGTTCTATGGCACATCGTCAAAGGCTTTATTATCTCTGGAAGTGCAATGGCTTTTGAAGTAAATAAACATTTAGACCTGTCGTATTGTAAAATGACCTTATTTAACTGAGGATCAGACCACATTTAACAGCTAGTGCCTATAAAGAAGAGCAAGGTCTTAAGATGTGTGCAAATGTTTCCTTTCACAGTTCCTCTCAACAGTTACCCCTCACCCTCCCACAGAGGTGTCTGTTCTCTCCACACTCCTGGCTGAGAGCTCCATAGGAAGGCAGGTGTCAGACACGACTGTGTTTGTACAGCTACTTCCCATTGATACAAGTAGTGAAGCAGAAATCATAAAAACTAGATACACTGCTCACTTCCCTGGTAAAATTCAGCAATTCAGAGTAGGGTGGGATGCCAACGATCCTGCATTGTTCCTGAATGCATACATTCTTATGGAAAGAACTGTAAAGCCATTCGAGAAATTTTCACATGTTCTTTTTGAATTATATAGATCACCAGGCATAAGTGTAGGTAAACTGGTTGGAAGGGGAAAAAAATCCCTGCCCGGCTTAACCCCACCTGTAACAATATTCTTCAGAACATCTTGGAATAATACAGAATAGATGATTAAAAAAATGAAGCTTCCTCCTGCTACTTCATTTTTACTATACAAACAAGAAGAACAAAAAAAGACTTTGCAGTGGTGCAATCAAAGTTCATTCTTCCTGGGGTTTGTTCTTTGAGGCCAGCTACAGAAGTTGCTGTGCTGAAAGATCCTAACAATAAAGAAGACTATTGTATGGTTTGTTATCCACATTATAACAATGGCAAGTTCATCAATACTGATAGGAAAAAGATCTGCTAGAGCTACTGTTTGTTATACAGTACTTTCATCCCTGGCAAGGAAAGAGAACTACAGAATCTTGTGGTGGAGTAATTACAATAATATCAGACTCTATTTTTTCATCCCCCAAAAAAAACCCAAGCCCTGAACCCAAAGCTGCTTCTCTACAGAAATGTCACATCCCAGAAACATCATAAAGGCTTTTTGAGGACTGAGAGCTGTAATACTGAATTCATGAGAGCAACAGAGTGCTGGCCTGGGTTCCATTATTGGTGAAAAGATGGGAAACAATTAGATCACTCCTGACAACTTAAAAGCTTAGCAGGAGAAAAAACAAAGTACAACAGGATTTCACAAATCACCAAGTCCACAGTGATAAAAATGTTTTACTTGCTTATAGAGGAAGAAATAAAGTTTTCCTGATTCTGAATCACAGTCTGTGTTCTGGCTGGATGCACTGGTCAGATCCAGCAGGCATAAAATACTCAGGAAAGAAAAATAGTCAAATTGGAAACAGCTACGGATTATTGAAGTAACACAACTAAAGTCAGCCAAGTGTCATTCAGCCTTAAGAATGCACAGAATATAAAAAAACCTGAATCCTGTGTTATTTGAAGTTACACTCCTGTATGTATTCTATTTTAATTATTTTCATTTTCTTAAGACAAAAAAGCACGAGCAGATTAAACCAGCATGTATCAAGTAGCATCAGGTATACTTCTTCACAGAGTTCAATAAAATAAAATTTAACAGAATGCAGCTGAATGCCTAGAATATAGTACTCTGCACCATGCAGTGCAATAATTATGCACAATTAAAGCCTACTGTGCAATTTTGTTACCATAAAAGCTCACTGACTCACACCAACTGAAAAATCTAAATCGGCCTGCTACAGAATCACTTTCCACAATTAAATGCCAATTCACAATTTCATCTCTATGGCCAGAATACATTTCTCAGTTTGGTCTGATCTTTTCACAGTTGTGATGTTTAAAGCTCAAGATCTGAAAAAATTAACAACAACTACCATTAAAATAGCTTAGAGAACACTTTCATGTTTCATTTCTAGGAAATGTGCTTCTCATTCCACTCTTGAAGGCTCATACGTACTGAATAATTAAGACCATCATGATGCTTTGTGAAAAATCTTAGAAATATGGGAAACCTATGTTCACACGGTACAAGAATGAATAGTGCATATTCATTTATTTGTATGAAATCCACAGAGTTTAAGTGCATGCTTATGTTTGGTATTTGATGCCTGACAATTCATTTAGCCCACACATTTACTTGGAACAACGATACTATGGAGGCCAGTTGAATATGGCCTTTGCAGAACACATTACAAAGAGTAAGACTTCTAAGTCTTAAATTAAAAATAAAAGTACTTCCAAGAGTCAGAAATTTACACAGATTCCAGAACTTACTAAAAGGCACTGTGATAGGATCTGATGAGGGATAGATCCCATGAGAACATAACAGGCATTGAGTCTCTTTTAATAGACAGCATGTTAGATCTCAAGGTGATGTATAAAAAGAGGCATAATATATGCACTTATATTTATGGATGCCCAGCATTTCCCAAAATAGTGTTCTTTTATCCCTTTATTTGAAGAAGGTGTTTTCCTACTGGCTTCAGTAAGATTATCATTTCATTCTTCATATGTTTTCAGAACTGGGGCTCAAGGTCCTGAACACCACTGCTCTTGCATGAATGAAAGCTTGTAAGGGGTCAGTTACCAGTGATGATTAATGTTGTCAAACTTTTAGTACAAAAAGATTATTAGGTCTAAATTTATCCAAATAAATATTGCTAATATTACCAAGAACTGTGTTCTAATCATGAGTATAAAGCAAAAGGAGAATGAACTAGAAAATCAGTGAAGCAAAGATGATACACCAAGATTTAAAATAGATTATTGAAAAAAAAAAAATACTAGTAGTAGTTATTTACCAATCCCTTTGGGGTAGACGTAGAAGATTTTAGTATATAAACTAAAGATGAACTTCATATAAAGATGAACTCAAAACAATTTCCTGCTTCTTCTGACTTGTCATCCTCAAGAGCTCCTGAGGTAGTGTGGCACTATCCAGATCTCATCGACCTGATATGTGAAGAAATCCTGACCAGACACAGAAGTAAAGATTACATAATCTGAAATATTCTCTCCATCAGTTTGAGCAACTCGCATGCCACCGAGTAAATGGATTTTTAATTCCTGATACTGTCCTCTCCCTGATACGTATCCTTTTTCTTCTGTAAAGTGCTCTTCTTACTGTTATCCCTCTTCTCTAACGGGAATCTGGCTTAGGCTGCTGCTAAGCCTGTCTCTTTGGCAGCAGTGCACCAGGAGAGAAGCTTTGAAAAGCAACAATTTAAAGCAGCCTGGCTCTCATGCAAACTCAGAGTCTCTGAGTGGCTGAGACTATCTGCTGTCTCTGTAATTCTTCAGTTCTGAGGCTGCAAGCGAGAATTACCTCCAGACAAGAAATTTTTATTTTGCTGTTCTGTATGTTTGTTTTATTTAGTTTCTAAGATAGATAATTTTTGGAGCCATTTGAATTCACTTCCTTTTAATGAAGAAGAGCAGTTTATACTACTGCTAATACCATCTGAAAGACTATCAATCACATGTGATGGACATGTTTTTTCTTGGAAAAAGACAACATAAAGATGTATGTTCTTACAAAATTATTTGGTATTTAATACTTCATATTTCAGGTCCTTTAGCTACCCCCTTTCTTTCTTAAAAAAAATTTCACCGACATAAGAGGTTGCTGTGTTTGAACAAAGAAGCCAAGGTCTCTGCTTCAGAAAAGCATGATCAACTCACACTCAACTCTTCCGGGAACCTGCTGCCCACCAAACGTCTGACATGTTGCCATCACCAGGGTAATAGGTCCTGGGGGTGAATTCTCAGACTTCTCTAAGAAAGCACATACCTGCAAACTCCACAGTGCAAGGAAGCCACACCAAAATGAAGGCACCGCAGGGTGTATGGGAGGAATATAGCTCCCGGCCTAGGAAAGCATGCATGTACTAAATAAGCAAACTAGTAATTTCTGTAGGGTTTTCTGAGCTTATTTACACAATCGCATTGATGAGCACAACATGTCCGCTGTGGGGAATGGTATCGCGCTAAAGCCACTGGTAAAATAAATTTAGTAGGCGTTTATGTAGGCCACATTGCAATGTCCAGACGAAACAAAGACAATGTTAAAGCAAGTCTGTAGAGACCATGTAAGTAGATCAAAATGAAGCAGCCCCAATATGAGCTTATGTTAATAAGATTATGATTTCAAGGCCATATTTTGGCAAGTCCTTGAGAACCACTTTATGTCATTTAGGCAACAGGCAAAACACTTTGTCCATGAGAACGTGTGGGTGCGCAGCCGTGACTAGAAGGTCACGGAAGGACAAGGATATGGAAAGACACAGGGAGAGATGCCTCCTCAGGGGGAAAGGATAAACCAACAGAGCCAGATACCAATTCAATTCAGAGCCAGCTTCTTGACTCCAAACTCCAATATAAAACCCCCTGTACCCACACGGGTAGGTCCGTTAACAGGAGCCTCTGGAGTTTACCTGTCCTCTCCACAGCTGTTGACACCAAAATCCTCCAGAAATGTGACAGAGTGAAGACCACAACCCAAGAATCCTGTTGTGTCCGGGCGCCGGCTGCAGGGGCTCTTCTGTGAGGAGCGGGCGGGCTGCCCTGTGGTGCACACAGCCGGTTCCTGCCGGTTCTGGGTGGTTCCAGCTGGTTCCAGGTGGTTCCAGAAGGTTCCAGGTGGTTCCAGGCGGTTCCGGCCAGTTCCACCACAGGGTACAACCGGGCTCATCAGCGAGGGTGGTTCCAGCCGGTTCCAGGTGGTTCCAGGCGGTTCCAGACGGTTCCACCACAGGGTACAACCGGGCTCATCAGCGACACTGGCAGCCCTTAAGAAAGAAGCCCTGTTGTGTCCAAGCGCCAGCTGCGGGGGCTCTTCTGTGAGGAGCGGGTAGGCTGCCCTGTGGTGCATACAGCCGGTTCCAGCCAGTTCCAGGTGGTTCCAGCCGGTTCCAGAAGGTTCCAGGCGGTTCCAACCAGTTCCACCAAAGGGCACAGCCGGGCTCATCAGCGACACTGGCAGCCCTTAAGAAAGAAGCCCTGTTGTGTCCAAGCGCCAGCTGCGGGGGCTCTTCTGTGAGGAGCGGGTAGGCTGCCCTGTGGTGCATACAGCCGGTTCCAGCCAGTTCCAGGTGGTTCCAGCCGGTTCCAGAAGGTTCCAGGCGGTTCCAACCAGTTCCACCAAAGGGCACAGCCGGGCTCATCAGCGACACTGGCAGCCCTTTAGAAAACACCACAGAGGCAGTAAGGAGTGAGGCAAAAAGTGTGAAAAACAGCCCAGCGATTGCCCAGTTCTGGGGAGGAGGAGGTGGTCGTGGTCCCCAAGCAATAAATTAAATTAATTCTCCCCAAGTTGAGCCTGTTTTGCCCATGATGGTGACTGGTAAGTGACGTCTCTACCTCTATATCTTGACCCACAAGCTTTTTCCTCTTATTTTCCTCTTGAGATTTTCAAGACCACCCTGGATGCAGTCCTGAGTAACAGGCTCTAACATGCTCTAGGCAATCCTGCTTCAGCAGGGGAGTTGGACTAGATGATCTCTATGGTCCCTTCCAACTCTAAAAATTCAGTGAAATTTTGCCTTGCATTCCTGTTGAGGAGGGGGAGTGAGAGAGGGGCTGGGTGAGCATATGGCCCTCAGCCAAGACCGACCCACCGCACCCGCCTTGTGCTGCACGGAGGCACCTCTGGCTTTACATATGGACAACGAATTTTCCCTTCATTTGGCAGAAGTTAAAACAGAGGTTACGAGCGCCCAGAAGCCTCTCCATCCACACAGGTCACTGGCAATGAACTGCAGCTTTTGGCTCGTACCAGGAACAGCGTGGTGAGTAGGACTCGGGAGGTGATCGTCCCCCTCTACTCGGCACTGGTGAGACACCATCTTGAGTGCTGTCTCCAGTTTTGGGGCCCTTACCACAAAAAAAGACATTGAGGTGCTGGAGCGGGTCCAGAGAAGGGCAACGAAGTTGGTGAGGGGTCTGGAGCACAAGTCTTAAGAGGAAAGGCTGAGGGAGCTGGGGTTGTTCAGTCTGGAGAAGAGGAGGCTGAGGGGAGACCTTATCGCTCTCCACAGCTACCTGACAGGAGGGTGTAGAGAGGCAGGGGTTGGTCTCTTCTCCCAAGTCACAGGTGATAGGACAAGAGGAAATGGCCTCAAGTTGTGCCAGGGGACGTTCAGATTGGATATTAGAAAAAATTTTTACTCTGAAAGGGTTATTAAGCATTGGAATGGGCTGCCCAGGGACGCGGTTGAGGCACCATCCCTGGAGGTATTTAAAAGACGGGTTGACATAGTGCTCAGAAACATGGTTTAGTGACGGATTGGTTGTTTTCTTTTAATCAGAGTTAGGTTGATGGTTGGACTAGATGATCTTAAAGGTCCCTTCCAACCTAGACGATTCTATGATTCTCACTCATCTCCCTCTGACATTTAAACCGGGGAGGCTGAGCCCAGCTGTTAGGATCTTGCTTCCTCCTAAATATTAAGAAAAATTTCTTCACTGAAAGGGTTATCAAGCATTGAACAGGCTGCCCAAGGAAGTGGTTGAGTCACCATCCCTGGAGGTATTTACAGGACATGAAGATGTAGTGCTGAGGGATGTGGTTTAGTGGTAACTTGTCAGTGCTGGGTTAACAGTTGGACTCGATGATCTTAAAGGTCTCTTCCAACCAAAGATTCTATGATTCTAAATATTCTGGAGTGCATGTCTGGCTTGTTGGTATGTGTACTGCTGCCTGCCATCTCCAAGAACATCCAGGATATGAAAATGGGACAAAGATAAAAGAATACATTTATGTAAGTTTAGCAAAACAGTCCTCTGATCTAAGTGCTTGAAGTGATTAGAAAGGATGGCAAGGCCTAACAGCTAAGGCTTTTCTTCTTATTTCTTGATGGAGACAACATTTGGTGGCACTATTAAACTAGCATCACAACAGTTAACAAGAGTACCACATTGTTAGTACTCCTGCCTGGGTGAGCTCACTTCGTGATAAACTCTGTGACACCAGCACAAACTTTGCGGGCTGGGAACTGCGAGGGCTGTATGAAATACCTATTTCAAATATACCCACTTGGGTCTGTCTTTGTCACGGTATTTTTACTCAATCTCTATTTTGCCCTGTAGAATTGCAAATTCTATGCATTTAAGCCCTTTCGCATCAGTCAGTTTTACACGTGATTATTTCATTATTGTACCTTACATACCTGGACCTGGTTTCTAAAGTGAATTTGAATGACATACTGCAGTGTGATGATCCATTAACGCAACACATGCATCTTCCCCGTTTCTGACTGGCCACGTCTTGCTACCTGTAAGGCCAAGGAGAAATACCGTGCTGAACACCAGGTAGGTATTGTGTCAGCTATCAGGTTAGACTTCCAACATTTATATTGCAATTGTCTGAATATTTTAATAATTGTACATAATATGATATCATTATTTAGATAAATCAACTCATACAGTGTATATTTGATAACATAATCTCTGGTTGATTACTAAACACCTGAAGAGTGAATCAGCTTCCTAATTCTTGCAGCATACTTCACCACAAGATGCCTTCACCTTTCTTTCACCTGGGACAAATGATAGTTGAACTGAGTGAATAAAGCTAGACTCTGCATACCAGAGCAGCCTGCTCACCTGGAAAGTCCTACGCTGCTATTTGAGCAAGATGAACATCTACAGGCCATCAGCTAGAGCCAAGGGGTTCAATTAGTTGTATACCTTTTCCTCAAGCAACTGCAGGCAAGAAAATTTTTCCAAGCCTGGATTTAAAATAAAAGAACAGACTACCAACAAGGGATCATTAATAGCCATGAATGAAACTAGATGAAACTAGCACATTAATCAAGAGTAAATAATTATTCCAGTGTACATAACTGATTCTTAAAGGATACTCTGCAGACAGGAAAGTTAAAATAGTAGCAAGTACCTACTTACTTTACAAAAGGATCAAGGCTAGTGACATTAGAACCAGTCCCTGCAGGAAAAACAACAATATCAGTAAGAGTAAAGTGCAGTCCGGCCTTCTACTCTCCTGGCGTGTGTTGTAAAGCCACATCCAAAAATTTATAACAAGCCCGTAGCCATGTAACTACTAAACCCAAGAAGCTATGCACTTTAGTTACTAAATGATAAGCAATAATATAAGTATTATAACATGAATACAATTCATAAACTCTTCTGAAATAATATTAAAAGACACCTCTCCAAGTACAGTGCAGGGAAGAACTGAGGCAGTAATTAAGACCTAAATGGAAGGATAAAATATAAAACTCTGTATTACTTTTGGGGGGGTGGACAACAAAGGAAACACACTAAATTAAAGAATTAATTCACATGATCAACATTGCCTCATGCAATCAGCAAGGAGAAAGATTAACCTCTGTTCCTCCTACTCTCTCACTGTAACAATGAGCCCCAGGTATATTCCCCTCTTTCCGTCATAAAAATTTTAATTTGCTACAAAAAAACCCTACAGAAAAATGACAGAATCAAATTAACAGAAAATAAGTACCAGAAGGCCATATTTGGAGGCAGTTACTTACCTACTGTAGGTCTTAAGTGCAGATTATCCTTTAAAATTGGCTTTTTTTAATCTATGTAAATTAGTACAGCTCCATTCAAATAAATGCGGCCATGCCTTTTTGTCCCAGTTGATGATCCAGCCTGTAACATGGAAGAAGTGGGATTTTGTTCACCTGAACAGAAACTCAGCGGGATGCCTGTGAGCTCAAAGTTGTAAGTCAGTGCTCACAGCAAGCAGAGTTTCACACCACACCTGCTGAGATGTTTCAGCTATCCTGAATTCTCCAAAAGTCCGCTTTGTCTGTAAAAGAAAGTAAAAAAACCCTCCCAGTACAGCAGCAAGTTAGAGAAGTGGGGGGAGGGACACCCTATTTTTAAAGCCCATAAATGCAGAGAAATCTCAGCTCAGTGGGAAGGTATGTGGGCGAGGGGTAATTTTTTAGATGTATCTTCAGAGAACTACAATTTACATGTAAGTAATTATCCCTTCTGTAAAAGACACGTATTTCAGACTTCCAACTTTTGGAAGCTAGACTATCTCCAAGGAGTAAGTTTGTGCATAGAGAGATAGGGAAAAGAAAGATGCAGGAAGATTGTGGGACTACCACGTGATTAAAAAACAGACAAAAACCACACCAGGGTACCACTAGAATCAATCCATTTACCAGTGGAGGAATTTCTCCTACCTAACCTGAGCTCGGTGATTTGCAGTGTGCAGCAAAAGCATTTTTAGAGACACATGAATAGGTTTAGAGGCAACGAGGTGGCTCAGAGGAAGCAAACATTCAGTCTCAATAGACTGCGGGCGGAGGCACATGAATAGGTTTAGAGGCAACGAGGAAGCAACATTCAGTCTCAATAGACTGCGGGCGGAGAGTGTTGGGATATTATTGCTACCAGGATGTTTTCAAAATGTTTTTTAGTATATGCAGATTCTTCTTAGACATAAAAATAAATATGCAGACATCTCTTGGGTGTTTTGTTGCTGCAAGGTGCATCTGGGCTATGGGGACACTAACATAAAAATGATTTCACTGCTTTAAAAAGAAATAGCTCATAGAATAATTAAACACGGAAAACGTTGTGTCTAGACTGGGCCTGGTTTTGTCATGTTCTCTGTGAATTATCTCCTGGCTATGAAAGCAGCTAAGTAGGGGAGCTTGTACTAGGATAAATCTGTTGTTACAGGTCTTACGTTGCAGCATCAAAGGCATAGCTGTGCAGAAGGGGATGCTGAGGTGACTCCAGAATGAGACATATCTCTGCATGTAGATAAACCTAAAATCAAGAGCATTATGTTCAACACGGTCCAACTGGTATTCCCGTGTTTGGCTCACTCCAGAAGTTGAAGATCAGGCTCTGCTTTGCTGCACTTTGGTGGGGACTGCTCCTCAGCATACCATTGAGTGCCTTGACTTCATCTAAACATTGCAGCATGACCTGTCAGGTTCCTGTGCATTTGATGTAAATGTTATGTCCTCTCCAGAGATCATCTCATCAAAGTCAAGTTAATCTACAGAGATGTCCTGTAGGAGCTTTCAGACTTGGGCTTGTTCTGATCCATCTCTTCCAGCTTCAGGAGTTGCTGATAACTACCTTAAGAAGCAGAATTAGGGATGCGCTGATGGAGAAGACTCGCACAGCCATCACTTTACATTTGTGCCATCCTATTTACCTCTCTCCTCCTTGGCTTTTCCTTTTCCTAATCTCCTATAGATGGAGGCTTTTTGGCAGCCTACGTCAGTTCCTCAAGCACTGTGAATCCCAGCTGTAGCTTCTACCTTTTCTATACCTCCATGGCTGTGGCTCTGCTGCACTGGTCCCTCTGATAGAGGCACAGCTTCTGCAGTAGTAGCAATTGAGATAAACTGACTTTTGTTACATGGAAGAAATAAGTCTTTTAGCTGTTTGGAGCAATCCCTACTCTCTTTATAAACAGCTAAAAGACTTCCTTTAAAAATCTAACAAACAGTAGTTAATCTTCATTGGTGTCTCTCTAGCGGCATCTGTATTAAAGGTCCTGGCCCAGTACTGGCAATAGCACTGATTTATTACTGTTGGCATCTCTAGTGAGGACTGATTAAGGACTTTGGGAAGTGGAGTGACTGCCCATGTAGCACAGGTTGGGCAGGGCAGAGAGAATTAGGGAGACAGAAAGGAATATGAGAGAAAAGATGGCAATGTTGCTGTGAGGTTTAGGTATTCTTAAATATGAACTAAAGCTTTCTGCCTAAGCCCCACAGCAACATTGCCAACAATTTGTTATCGTGTTTTTACCTCATAAAAAAATAAAGTTATAATCACTACCATCATTTCAGGAAGGGGAAAACCCAAACCACAGAAAGGTGAAGGGACTTTCCCAAGCGTAATCACTAATGATAAAGAAGACAAAGAGATATCGTGTCCACTCTCAACATTCAAAGCATCACATAAAAGATCTGGTCCTTGGTAGAGGTGAAATTCAGCAGGAACACTCTGGAGCTGACAAGACTGTAGAGTTTCTTGAGAGTCCATTGTGTGTTGAGTTTGCACACAGCAACCTTAACCTCAAAACTCTCATCCCTCACTGAAAAGAGAACTAAGCAAAAAGTACAGTGTTCTGTACAAGTAGAACAGCAAGCTCTCAGATACTGTTATGCAAAACAAGAAGCTTTGTTAAGAGCTTCCTTGAAGATACACTTCAAGGCCAATGTACACATTCAGATTTAAACAGTCTGGTATGCGAGGAGAAATATGCAAAGCCGGTGTTCTCAACTCTTCTCGACTTGTGCCTCTTCATTATACTGCTAGGGTGCCTCTGTTGCCAATTTTGCAAACAATTCAGCATTGAACAGTCTTTTTTTAAACCTGTGAGAAAAAAAAAAAACTAAACAAAAAGAGAGAGGAAAAATGAAGAACTTGTAAAGGGAAACATAAATGTGGCAGTTTTAGAAATCATCTGCAAAGGGAGGAGGCAGATTGGCAAGTACAATTGCAGACCAGAGCCAGAAAGCAGAGACACATCATTAAAAGCATTAACTAGGTGTTTTGAGGAATTACTTTGGCAGAGTTCCAACACAACATTAGTATTATTTCATTACAGACTCCGTGCATCACCAAACCTTTATATCAGTTAGACCCCTGGAAGTAAATTAGTGTTTTTTTTAAATAATTAAACACTTCTACCATTTAATTTTTGGGCTGTTTTGAAACTTTTAATCCATGAGAATTTGAAGCTTATTCAGCCTCTTATTCACAGAACAGTTGAGATTCTCACAAAATTGTTCTCTCTTGAAGGTTTATCAAGAGCTCCACCTCTTACTCTACCCTAAAGGACAAGAGGAATGGACAAGGATAGAAATTATTTCAATTCGGGCTGACTTACAAGAGCTCTGGTACACCTTGTTTACTGAAAATCCATTAAGAATCTCCTCCTAGTTCTGACAGGCTGTTCTTTCCCTTACCATGTCTCTCCAGCAGCTCCTGGTAGATCATCACTTTATTCTTTTTCTTCTCTAGGTTAGGCTGATCCTGATTGCCTCTTTGCATCTCAAAAAGGACACTGGCTTAGTCCATAACCATTTCCTTCAGAAAATACTTTGGTGAGTGTCTGTTAGCCTGTTCTAGGAACACATTATTCAGGAGCTTCTCTTCCTACCCTTTAAGTTCACTGTGGATGACACACTCCTGCATGAAACGTAATGAATCCAACTTAATTTTTAAGCACTTCTTGCTTACAAGTAGGAGCCACTTCAATTAAACAGCGCCAGCTACTTAAGTCAAGATGTATTTCCATTCACTGGTGGCTGTTCATACGCCAATTACGAGGAGAACAGTCACATGCAAAAGAGGCAAAAGCTGACACATCTCCATCTGTCGCTAACAGTGAAGAGGGGAGGCAGAATTCAATGTCAGCCCCTTTGTCAAAATGTTTTTTTAAAAAAGACGTTTGTTAAATTACTAATCTGCTTCCATAATATTTGTAAATATTTATACTATGAACTAATGATGTCCTCTCAATTAGTGGAGAGAGTCGTCTCTGTGAGTAAGGAGATACATAAAAAGGCAAGGAGGACTCAGGGAAAGGTATGATTAAGGCCAAACTCCATTCATCAGTGGTCCTTGCATCGAACTTCCTCATCTCCCATTCCTCTCACATCAACACATGCCCCGTGGTCAGAAACTTCTCTTGGGGCATCGCTTACCTGTTTGCCTGCAACACCACAGCCAGGGAAGTATCTGCTTATAACTTGAATGCAAAAAAAAAAAAAAAATTGTCTATTTTTTCCTTCTAATAGGATTTTAAAAAATAGATCTACTGGCAAATGGGCTTCTTTCTAAGTGGGAATACTGGTATGTATAGACAGAATGCTCTTTCAAGGTTATGAAGCTTCCTTTGCATTGTGTAAATGCACACTTGCAATGCAATCACGAGTTTTCCATCATCATTAGAAAAAAGCCTAGTAAGTGATGCAACACTGGAAGGTTCCCACAAAGGAGAGCCTACTTAGATAATTAAAGAATCTTTATGGTATGAACTTCATGTCGCAACAAATTTTAACACAGTAAATAACACTACCAAAGAAGCCCTGAAAGCTTGCAAACCCACAAACTAGAACTTGCAGTGGTGAAAATGAGGGGAAAAAAGGAAGAAGAGTTCACACTGAGGTAACAAACCATTATTTCTTTGGAAACCTTAGAACTCTGTCAAGTTTTTTAAAATCAATATAAACAGCATATACTTGAGTTGCAGATACAAATAAAACTCAAGAATGTCTCCCACATACACACTATTGACAGAATAAGAAAAAGTTTGAAAATAGGGTTTAAATCATCTTTCTCAGAAGCTTTAAAGCTCACCGAATGGCAAGTGACATCGAGCTTCTGGCAAGAGTTTCACGTATGAAATGTGTCTCCTAAAACTGAAGAGTATATGGAGTAAGAGAACGTCAACAAATTGTATCCTAGAGATTGAAATCAATCTAGCTGGCCCACACTAGCTTATCCCACCATATACCCAGAAGTACTAGGTGTCAAGATATGGCAGAAAATGGCTAAGATCTCACTAGTCTAATGGAATACATTGATTCACTTTTTGGATAAGGAAAACAAACAACAGCTCCCCACAAAGCGAAAAAACAAACCACAAAACTTCTGATCTCATTTCTCCCTCTCAGTCATTTCACAGGATGATATTGGGTTGAAAGGGACCTCTAGAGATCATCTAGTCCAACCCCCCTGCCAGAGCAGGTCCACCCAGAGCAGGTTGCACAGGAACATGTCCAGGCGGGTTTTGAATG